TTCCTTTTTTTTTTTTTTTTTTTGGTATAGAACTGAGGACCTTGCACTTGCCAGGCAGGTGCGCACTGCTGAGCTGCAGCCCAGACCCTATCCTTCTGTTCCTTCATGCATGATCCCAGTAGAGTAATTTAGCCTCTGAGCCTCTCTTCATTTATAAATGTCTTGCAAGGTTCTTGGTTAGGTTAGTGGGATAACGTATGTACTCAGTGTGAAGCTTATGCTTTACATTGCGCTTTGCCCTGTCACCTTGCAATAAGTAGCATCTGCTGTAATGATTCAGAGAAGAGTGGGCTAGAATTGGACCTGGTGATGGAGCACTGGCCTAGCATGTGCAAGGCCCTGGGTTCAATCCTCAGGCACCACGAAATGGGGGGGGGGAGAGAGGAAGAAGGAAGGAAGGACGGACTGTTGTGAGAGGAGAATGAGAAAGCTGCCAGAGGAGCTTTAGAGTTAGGATCGGCTAGGATGGCAGGAAGCCGTACCGTGCCCCACCCCTCCAGGGCGCAGGTCTTGGCAAACAGGACTTAGGGGAGAGACTAAGCTGGAGTTAGAACAGTCCCCCGTCCAGAGGCACCACAGTCCAGGTCCCTGAGTTAGCCCTTCCTGTCTCCTCCGCACAGCTGCTGAGCACCCCTCTGCACGTGGCAGTGCGCACTGGGCATGTGGAGATTGTGGAACACTTTCTGTCCCTGGGCTTGGATATCAACGCTAGAGACAGAGTGAGCGCTTCCCCTCCTCCCCAGCCGGCCACACCACGCTTGTGTGGACAGCTTGCCAGCTCCCACAGGGACCCTCGGGACAAGGGCTCCCGACCAGGGTCTCTAGCCCGTCTCCCGTCACCCTGCTTCCCGTCCACTGCCCCCAAGGGCCGTGTTGAGCGCTACCCTGGCTCTAGGAAGGAGACAGTGCCTTGCACGATGCCGTGAGGCTCAACCGCTACAAAATCATCAAACTGCTGCTCCTTCACGGGGCTGACATGATGGCCAAGAACCTGGTGAGTACACGTGTCTGTCTCTGCCCATTGAGCACCTGCATGATGTACAAGTTGTCTTCTTCCACTAATACCATTCCCATCACCCACTTCCCGGTCCTCTGTGTGTGTGTTTGTGACTGTCCAGAGTACGAGCCCAGAGACACAGTAGGAAGCACAGGAGGGACCCTAACATGCAGGCCCACGGGTGGCAGAGATCATGGAGGGACAGAACTGAGGCGCCTGAGCACTTGGTTTGCCTGACCATTCCTAGCACTCAGTGTTCATTGCTGATAGGCCTCAAGTTTTCTGAGGACTGTTGTCCCCTAGTTCAAGCTCTTCTGTGGGGCTCAGAGCCATCACAAAGGAAAGGAGCATAGGAAGGCATCTCCCAGTCCCCGGCTCTAGAGGGCTAAGGGGGGATGGAGAGGGTGTTTCTCAACCTCAGCAGTACTGACGTTTAGTTGGCAGTTCTTGTTGGTGGGGCACTGTCCTGGGCCTTGTAGGATGGTTAAGCTTCTACCCACGAGATAGCAGTAGCACCTACATCTCAGCTGTGACCACCAAAACGTCTTCACCCATGCCAAGCTGCCTCCAGCTGAGAGCCACTGGTGTAGCTGAGGGCACCTTCTAGTCTAGCGGACTTCAGAACCACGAACGGATGTCCTTGTGGTTCCTCCAGGCAGGAAAGACCCCCACAGACCTGGTGCAGCTGTGGCAGGCAGATACTCGGCATGCCCTGGAGCACCCTGAGACGGAGACAGAGCAGCACGGGGTGGAGGGGCCTGAGAGTGGACCTGAGACTCCCCAGCAAGTGCCAGCCCAGTAAAGCCTGCTTCAGCCTGCCCAGCCAGACACCCGCCCGCTCCTGTGTGCAAGCAAGGAGGGTCCTAGCATGACCCTCAGAACTGCCGCTCCTCTGCACAATGCAGGAACGCCCACACATGGGCACAATAAAAGTGGGTTTTGCTATTTTTACTGTTTGTTTCCATTTGTGTTTGAAATCATATAGGAATGAAGACTGGGGCAAAGGTAGGTTTGAGGACAAAGGCATCTTGGAGCCCTTTGGCCCCTCTGAACCTCTCCTGTGGTCTTGTTTCTCTTCTGCCACCCCATTTTTCTGCTCTTTCCCAAGGCCTGGGTCCCAGCTATCAGCTGCGCATTCCAGCCTGGTGCTCTTCTCAGCCCGCCCCCACCCCACGACTGCTGTCCTGTGGAACTATGTGTGGCCAGCACGAGGCTGACACTTGGTCGCCTTGGCAGGAGGAGCCTGGCAGGGAAGTGAGGCAGTGGCTTGTCACAAGCAGCTTCTTGCCTTCCGCTCAGCAGCTCCTTCCCACAGAGCAGGGCTGGGCCAGCTCGGCCAATCAGCTCCACCAGACTGGAAACTGATAGGGCCCTGGCTTCGTGGCTGGGAGTTGTGGGAAGAGGGCCCAGGCTGTGGAGAGGCCCTTTAGTGTTGGCAGCCTCAGAACCAGCTCCGTGTCTGGCTAGAGGGACACTGCCTTGTGGCATTTCTTCAGCTTCTCCCCAGGGAGAAAAAGGACTCCTTGGAGCCTGTAGGTCTTGCTTCTGACCCTGGGAGTACTTAGTTCAGGCCTCCCCAGTGCTTACAAATCTGGGGGGCTGCCAATTTTTAACTAGACATGTTGATCATTAACAGGGGATAGAAAAGAGTTCAAACTCAGCCTCACTTGGGCACATAGACCAGCTGGGCCCCAGGCTGCTGAGACATGCTGGGTCCCCAAATGTGGGCCTCTGTGAGGCAGGGGCTGAGCAGGGGCTTGTCTAGAAACGTGAGGGGCTGGGCCTCAGGGGAGGGGAAGAAGGTGGACATCGCAGGCATCTACCCCCCTGTGACTACCCCCTTCGCTGCCAACGCCGAGGTGGACTATGGGAAATTGGAGGAGAACCTGCACAAACTGGGCACCCTTCCCTTCCGAGGTGAGTGGGCCTGTCCCCTGTGGGAGGGGACCAGAACTGAGGGAGGCCCTCAGGTGCTAACGCCTCAGACCAGACTCTCCTGCCTCTGTTTCCCCGGCTGTAAAGGGCTAATGTGTCTTCTGAGCTCCCCGAGTTATTGTGGGGCCGTCCTGGAGAGTGGGTGTTGCACCCTTGTGAAGTAGCCCCAGGCTGGTGTGACCACTTCAGAGGAAGTCACACTTTGTCGTGTAGCCAGCATCGGCCTCCTGTCCTCCAAGCCGCATGTGTGCATTCTCTTCTGGGCCAGAGTTTCCTTGGCAGAATTAGTTCACGTACTGGCCCCTCTGACTCATCTCCTCTATACATGGGTCTCTCCCTCGCTGAGGCCAGGGACTCCAGCACGCCACACAGCCACAGGTGCGGTACCATGGAGGTAGGAGGAGATGTCCCAGTCCAGAGCAGTTTGTGGACATTGCTCTCGACAGCACCATCTCATGGATGGGAACCTGGGACCCAGAGGTGTGGCCACCGTCCAAGACCACTGAGCTCCCACGTGGCTGGGCTGAGGTCCGGGCTCACTGTGGTGACACAACCCATACTGTTTCTTTCCACCTGCTGATTCTATCACCCCTCACTGAGTCACTACACCAGACTACCTCAATAAAGTGTCTGGTGGGGACCAGCTTTGGGAATGGTGTGGCTAAGACTTTGGTGGTGCAGGGTAGTAGTTCAGATGGTGGACTCTGGTTTCCAATCACAGCCATGCCACTGACTTCTAGTGGGATAATCTCTAAACCTCAGTTTCCCCATGTGACACATAGGAGTAATACTGGTTATATTGTGAAATGGTTGGGAGGAAAATCAGATGGAAGTGAAAGCACACTGTAGATTAGAGAGTGGTATCCATGAGGTGATGAGTATTAAAATGATTTATAATGATTATAATGACTATCACGATGAGCATAAAATGATGTATAATGTGGCATAGCTGCTTTGTGACAATGACCGGGGTTCCACTGAGCCTCCATTCGTAGCTCAGCATAGAAATGATGTGACCCTTCCCAGGGGACACTCAAGTCCCAGTGGACACTCATCCTGAGCAGGGAAACCACTTCTTAAGTAAACGTCTGCCTTGGCTCGTTCACGGGGTCTAAAGGCTGGATGAGGCCCAGTTCCCTTAAAGCAAAGCAAGATGGTCTTGAGTCTCTGACAGAAGACTGCTTCAGCTTCTAACTTCCAGGACACACTAGTTTAGGAACCGGGAGGGAGGATTTTGTATACTGGTGTCTGCCTGCCCCCCAGAGAATTCCCAGAGACCTCTTTCCTGGGCGTTGCCTTCCCTCCTGCAGATTCACCGCCTTGGGCATGGAGGGCTCTGGGGTCCAGGTTTTGGGGGATTTGGCAATATTGCCTCCTGCTCGTCTGATCCCTCTCTCAGTCATACATCAAGGAGGCAGGGGCTGTGGGACAAAGAGCCCAGCACCTGGAGGTTGAAGACCCGGGTAAGGCTCCTTCTTGACCATTAGAGTGACGTGGAGAAATTATATAACCCCCTAGTCTGGTCTCCTCGCTTTAGAACATGGAGTGGACCCTTCACGTTACTAATCACGACAACACAGAGCCGGAGCATCCTGTCACAGGGCTTCTGGGGACTCAGTCAAGCTGTGTCAGCTCTAAAATCTATTTCTTCTGTCCACTTCTGGGGAGGACCTCCAGCCCACACTCTAGAGCAGAGACAGCCGCTATCACATTTTGTGTTCCGAGATGTCTGCAACAACATGCCCTAGGAGGAGGGGAGGGGAAGGGGAAGTAAAAAGAATTAAGATGTGGTACGCATGTGTATCAACTCTCACAAGGGATGTAACTGTAACGTACTGCAAGCATGTATAATTAAAATAAGAATTAAAAAAAAATAACCTCTAAAGAGGAGTTGGGAGTCTGCATGAGTGAACACAGAGCGCCTTCTGGAAGGCCCTGCCTGAAACTGTAGCTCTTTTTAAAAATCTCTTTCAAAAATCACTGCTAGCCGGGCGTGATGGCACATGCCTGTAATCCCAGCACTTGGGAGGCTGAGGCAGGAGGATCGCTGTGAGTTCAAGACCAGCCTGGGATACATAGTGAGACTCTGTCTCAAAAAAAAAATAAATAAATAAAATTGCCACATTGTCTGACTCCCTTACTCCAGTTATACATTTGCAGGGGTTCTCCAGAGGGCCATACGGCCCTGAACTCACCTGCAAATAACCTCAAAAGTGGACTTTGAATTGTTGTTTCCAACTAAAGTTAGTGGACAACCACAGAGCTAATCAAGACAGGGGAGATGTTGCTCATAAAACTTTTGAACTAGTGTCTTTCTTTCTGTGAAGAGTGCACTGTGATTTATTGTGAAAGATAAAATATTTTTGTAGGGCTGGGGATTTGGCTCAGTGGTTCCGCCGCCTGCCTCTCAAGCGTGACGGCCAGAGTTCGATCACCGGTACTAAAAATATATATAATTTTTTTGTATATACTGTTATGGAAGGAATTGGCAAGTGAAACACAGAGAGACAGCAGAATGGAAGTAAAATAACGAAAAGCTTACTCCATCGACAGGGTTCGATGGGACCTAATGGCGGTACCCTGATTGATCCAGTACTGGGCTACAACTGCCCCTTTTATACGGTTTTGCAGCCTTGATCTCATTCAGGTGGTTACATTGCATTTTCACAATTCATGTTGCTGATATTCAAACCATGGTGGCCAGGCAATTGAATTTCAACCCAGATGTAGCACTTCTTTGGTCTGGGAGGTTACCTTTAAAATTCGTTGTTATCTATTCTAGCCCAGGGGAAGGATCAGCAAAGCTAACAATGGTTCTTTTCATTTACAAAACTTTTGAGGGAGACTAGATGCCTCCAGTGCCAGTTAATTCTGAACTAAACAGAGCGAAGGGCAGAAGTTATCTTACATTGTGACAATTCCTAGGGTTTTTGCTATTAAAGTGTTCTCTATCAATACTAGTATTAAAATCATTACTGTTAGAGAAGATATTTTGTTTCAAGTGTTAAAATGTTTTCAAGCCTGTTTTGGCTGGCTGTATTTTCTTTTTGTTTTGTTTTGTTTTGTTTTGTTTTTTGAGACAGGGTCTCACTATGTAGTTGAGACTAACCCTGAACTGTGCAGCCCACGCTGGTCTCAAACTCACAGCGATCCTCCTGCCTCAGGATCCCAAGTGCTGGGATCACAGGTGTGCACCACCATGCCCGAACTTTTCTTTCTTTCTCTTTTTCTTTCTTTCTTTCTTTCTTTCTTTCTTTCTTTCTTTCTTTCTTTCTTTCTTTCTTCTTTCTTTCTTTCTTTCTTTCTTTCTTTCTTTCTTTCTTTCTTTCTTTCTTTCTTTCGATAGGGTCTCACTGTGTAGTTTAGGCTGGTCTTGAACTTGCAGTGATCCTCCTGCCTCAGCCTCCCAAATGCTGGGTGTCACCAGGCCCGGCTTCATTTTTAAAATGTATTAGCTGAAAAAAAAAATGTATTAGATGACTTCAGGGGGAAAATAGAGCAGCCCAGACATATTTTTTCACTGAGATGCATGGGAATTACTCAGGATTATCCAGGCCTCCAGGGAAAGCCTTGCTAGGTGGTCTACTTTTCACGACCTGCACTGTTCTCATTTTCCATGAGGCACATTTGGATTTGCAGGTGCATCACCAGGGCACAAGGCAGCAGATACCACTCTAGAAGGGCACACGGATGGGGGACCTAATGAAGTCATCTGTCCTATCTGCTCTGCCCTCTCAGCCCACTGCTTGTCTCCTCCCAGTTGTGACCTCATGTTAGTCCAGAATTCCTCCTGAGCCCTTTTCATTCTGGGTTCTGTCCTGTAATGGGGAGGAGGCTACAAGTGGGCATGGAATATGCTGAGCGGGTTGCAGAGGTGCATCTGGATGGAAGAAGATACCAGACTTGGGACCGAGAATGAATGCCATCCCAGCCAGGGCGGCCTGGCTCAGCTTCCTCTGCCCTCGGGGCCACTGAACGGGGGAAAAAGAAAAACTAAAGACTAGAAGATAAGAAGGACAGAGTAGCAGAAGCCAAAGGGAAATTAGAATTGGAGAAACCACCTGACAAGCCTGAGGACAGTGGTCAGTGAGGGAGACAGGTCCCAAGCCTGAGGTAATGACTGCCAGGCTACACTTGAGGGCCGCCTTACCTCACCCCATCACCAACTGTCTTCGTCATAATGGGGCTCTTTGCTGACACAACAGGGGTAACCTAGGGAGGGTGCAGCAGTGGCTCAGACACTTGGAGAGCCTGCTCTTTCAAGCATGAGCTGTACCACCTGGCTCCCCAACTCCCAGTGTGCTCTTACCTCTGCCTGCCTGGTGTAGGGTCCTGGAGACCTTCTTGGAGTTCATCCAGCAGCCATCATGCAAGGTGGTGCTAGGGGCCATCATCTTGCTAGGAGGAGGAGGCCTCATGCTGTGGGCTCAGAGGAAGAGAAGTAAGATAACCCCTGAGTCTGCGCAAGATGAGTCTCCGGAATCCCACAAAACAAAGGAAAGCTGGATCAAATCTCACTTCAGCTGCCTGTCTGAGGAGAAACTGGCCCCTGACAACCATGCCTGTACCAGCAGGAGTGCTGTCCAGCCTGAGAGTGGGAGTGGGAAGGCCAGCACCACGATCCGCATGGAGACCGTCACCTCCAGGCCTGGGGAAAGGGGCTCAGCTCTGCACCGGGAATCTGTCACCAGCAAGCAGAAGATGTCTGGATCCACTGTGACCCAGAAGACCCACAGGGAGTCGGGAAAGCCCTCTTCCATGGATGAGGCCACATGGGCTGCTGTGGCTGCTTGTGTCGAGGAGATTGACACCAAGGGGCAGCATGTGGCTGACTCCATGCTGCAGCGAGCCAAGGCTTACAAACACTCAGGTCACTTGGAGTCCAGGGATATCAACCCAGAGGAGCTGAAGGCCCTCGAAGAGGTGGAGATGAAGCTGAAAAGGAGTTTCCTCACCCAGCGGGAAACCGCTGTGGCTGGTGCCAACCACACACGTACTTTCTATGGCCATCAGAGCCATCAGAGCCATCAGGGTCACCCGGGCCACCCGAGCCGCAGCCTGCCCAGCCGCAGCCACCAAGATGTATAATTCCTGAAGCTGCCTGAGCACACGCCCCTTCCCCCAGCAGGGCTGGCCACACAAACAGGCCTGTTTTCTCTTCTACAGGGAAACTTCTTGGCCCAGGGCGAGATGCTGTCACCAAAATCCTTTCTTCCTTGGCCCTTTCCCCAGGGGTCATGAGTGGACTCTTCCTTAGAAGATGGACCCTGGTGGAGGAAGAGCTGTGACAGACCCTGAGGTCCCTGAAGACATTTGGAGAGGAGACAGATGAGGCAGACCACGGGAGCAACCAAGAGCCCCAGACGGATGCCACACGCCTGGAATGGAGCCAATAAAGCCTTGTATCCCCTCACTCCTGTGTCAAGGGACTCTGTGGCCATCCAGGCTGGGAGAGGTGAAGGGGAAGGGTTCCTTCTCCAACAGTAGCTGAATCCGGGCCTTGTCTTGATCCTTTGCATTGGGCTTGCTTTTAAGACTCCAGGAAGCGGCTCCCCTGACCCATCCATCCCCCTCCTACCCCACACTCTTCCAGTCTCAGGTGCTCAGGAGGAGATACCTCTAGGGCTCCCCAACCCACTAATCTGCTATTGCCAGAGAAGGAGGAACCAGGCAGGAATGGTGGGGGGTAAGGAATAGGCTGCGACCCTGTCCTCTTGGTGCCGTCTCAAATCCATGGTGTCCCACGCTGTATCTCCCTCCCTGCCCCATCTGCTTCCAGGTACCCAAGGGGTCAGGTTAGAACCTCCCTACTGTCTGCATCCGCAGCTCTTAAACTTGTCTATGTCACTACTGCTGGGCCCCTGACTGCGGCTACCGTTGCTGCTACCAGTGTTACTAGTATTACTGGCAGCTTCCTCTTTTTTGAGGACTTTTTAAAAAGACACACTCTAAATTTTTTTTTTTTTTGGTTTTTTGAGACAGGGTCTCACTATGTAGTTGAGACTGTCCTGGAACTCACGAAGTAGCCCAGGCTGGTCTCGAACTCACAGCGATCCTCCTGCCTCAGCCTCCTCAGTGCTTGGATTACAGGCGTGTGCCACCGTGCCCGGCTAAAACTGTTTTTTTAAAAAGTACATACCCTTGCTGGAGGATCAGTGTGAGTTCGAGACCAGCCTGGGCTACTTCGTGAGTTCCAGGTCAGTCTCAACTACATAGTGAGACCCTGTCTCAAAAAACCAAAAAAAAAAAAAAAAAAAACACAAGTATATACCCTGCCCTGTGTTAAGTCAGAGCTCTACTATGAAGGCCTCAGGTTCTCTCCATTTCACCAACGAGACTACTGTGGCCAGAGACATACTTTGCCTGAGACAGTACGAGGTATTGCTTGGACCAGGTTACAGCTTTGCCTGACTGCAAAGCCCATGGAGTCCCCAGCTCCTTCCCAGTGCTGCCTCCCCGTCCTCTTCCCACCAATCCATGTCTCTGCCTCTCGTGACTGACCTTGACCTCTTCTCACATCCTGGCGATTCCACTGCTTAGGATCCTTCCCTGCCTCCTTTTCCTGGGTCACAAGAAAGCATCTTGGCGGCAAGTGGTGACCCATCCCCAGACAGAGGGAAGGCGGCCACCTCCTCTGTGAATCTTTAGAGAAGTTTACTTCAAGGCACTAACTCCACGTGATTCTTTGACATACATATTTCTCAACACTTGAATCTATTATGGATTTGCCAGTGGTTTCCAGCCTGTGTACTTCAAACTCCAGGTCTGCAAAATGACTGCAAAGCATGGATAAATCCATAAACAACCCAAACAAATTATTTTGTAAAGTACAGTTCAGAGTATTTGAATTTTTGGAGCATTATCCATAAGTGACTCTATAGAAATTTGGATTTATATATTTATACATTTAAAATATTTCATAATAAAAATTTTAGATGGGAAAAATAGGATTAATTACACAGGAAAAACATTAAACTGTACAAAAATCAAGACAGTGGTAAGGCTTGGCATCTGAAAGGAATTGTTAAAATGCATGCACATATCTGGGAGACCCAAAATTCCTTACTGAAAGCTCATTACATGAAATTTCAGGTTAGCTGATTATGACCTTGGAAGCTTAACTTTAAGAAAGTTTTCAAATTGATAAAAAAAAATTTTTTTTTCAAATTGACAAAATTTTATAAGTCTTCAGGGAGCCAGGGATTTAACTCAGTGTTGCTGTTGCATGCCTCACAAGTTCAAGATCCTGAGTTCGATCTCCCGTAACCCCCCCAAAAAAGTGTTCAGTTAGTGGTATTATGTTCATGTTAATTCTGTGTTTTGTTTTGCTTTTTTTGAGACAGGGTCTCACTATGTAGTTGAGACTGACCTGGAACTCACTATGTAGCTCAGGCTGGTCTCGAACTCACGGCAATCCTCCTGACTCAGCCTCCCAGGTGCTGGGATTACAGGCATGCGCCACCACGCCTGGCACATGTTAATTCTCTGGCTCTGATCATTTACAATAAATAGGTAAAATGTTGTGGATGGAAGTTAGGAGAGGGATGTATAGAAATTTTTTGCATTATTTTTGCAACTTTTCTGTAGGTCTAAAAGTAGTTCCAAATTTAAAGCTAAAACATTGTCAGCTTTATTTTTGAGCGCATTTTATTACAGATAAGCTGCGAGCAAAATGGCCTCTAGGCAGTCAACTGAAGTATATAGTCTTGGTGAGGACATTTTTTATTAGAAAATAGACATTGGATCACTATTAGAGTAGATACAAAGAGCAGTTAACAGCTACTCCGTCATGAGTCCAAGGGAAGGATGTCTGGCTTCCCAGATCCAGGCTTAAGTCCATTAAAGTCCGTTAGAAAATTGCTTAAACATTTTATTGGGAATGCAAGTGTCTTCCCAGGGAGAGGTTTTAAATTACATCATGCAAAAAACTTTTCCCCCGGGCCAGAGTTGTGACAATTTTTGTTTTGGTTTTGTGTTTTTGAGACAGAGTCTTGCTATTGTAGTCCCTCTGGCCTTGAACTCACAGTGTAGCTCAGGATGGTCTTGAACTCCCTGTGATCCTCCTGCCTCAATCTCCCAAGTGTGACAGTATTTTTTTTGTGCAACATTTTCTTGTACACCTATACTAGTCTGTACAGATGAAAATGCTGTGGAGCCCAGGGTGGAAGGAAATGAGGAAAAGTTTGGTGTTCTCACAGCATTTGAGAGCTTCCACTGGAGGCCAGGCAGAAGGGGACAGCAACTCTGCAGATGCAGGACAGTGGTAGTGTGTGTGGGTGGGTAGGTGTGACGCTGACAAGTTTGTTTTTTATATGGTGCCAGGGATGGAACCCAAGGCCTCATACATGCTAGCACTCTGCCGCTGAGCTATCTCCCTAGCTCTAACAGCTTTGATGGAAGGAAAACATTAGAGCTGGATCAAGGGTAAGGAGAAACATGACTATGGAATCTAGAGCCAGGGACGACTTTGGAGGCCATCTGATCTAATTTCTCATTTTACAGAAAGGCCAGATTGAGAGATTTTGCCTAACCCTACAGAGGGGTGGGTAGCCATGGGATTGAAGGGTTCTGAGGACCTCTGGGTATACAAGGAGGCAACAGGAAGTACAGAGAACAGGAAATGAAAGTCAGAGTAGAAAGGTCCTGCAGATGCAGCCCAGGAAGACCTCTTGGAGGAGGCAATGATGATGGTGAACTATAGCTAAGAGGTCATAACAGTGACCAGGGATACTTACTCTTTACGTAGGTCAGCCTGTGATTCCTTTTGGTCATAGTAAAATCACCACATTGTTTGTGGCTTCCTAGTCCCAAAGACCCACTGTCCCTCTCAAGCGCCCTGGCTTTCTAAAGCAGCGAGCGTAACCATGGGAGCAGCTGAGAGTAGTTTCCAAAATGAGAGCACCTCTGGCCAGGGATTTAGCTCAGTGGTTCTGCCACCTGCCTTGCAAGCACAAGGACCTGAGTTTGATCCCCAGTACCAAAAAAAAACCAAAAACAAAAACCAACCAAACAAGAAACCAAAACGAGAGCACCTCATCTTTCAGCTGGGGCTGGGGGAGTTAGGCCCTCCTCCAGGTTCCCCTTCAGTTCCAGCTATTCCCCATTTAAGGCTTGAGTGCTTTTTTCTGACTCTATGACAGCTAACCCTTGTTGAGTACCAGGTTTTAGCCTAAGTACTTTGAAAAGAGGATCCTGGAGCAAATAAAAAAATGGAAATAAAATGTTTGTAAATGGGGAGGGGAGAAGGGGGTGAAGGGAGGGCAGGGACAAGGGGAAAAAATGAGAACCAAGAGCTGTCATGTAAAGGTACAAGATCCCAATAATGAATGTAACTGTACCGTATACCTAAAATGTACCAATAAACTCAATGAGGGGGAAAAAGAAAGAGGATCCACTTAAACTTCAAAACAGTGCTGAGCCTTTCAAACAATCCTATGTGGTAGGATTGAAATGATTCGTCATTCCACAAAAAAGGAAATAGAGACTCAGAGATGTGATGTGACTTGCTGGCCGGCTGGTGTCCTGTCCCTCCTTAGCCAAGGTATCAGTCCTAGGGCAGAAGCCCCTTCCAGGGACAGGAGAGAGGGCCATGCTCTGGGAACCTTGAGCCCGGGGCTTGCAGCTACCTCCCAGAATGCCAGATCCCAGTTTGAGGCCAGGTTCATGTGTAGAGCTCAAGGACTTCTGGAACTGAGCACTGGATAAAAGGTGACTTGGGAGTGACTGTAGTTGGGTCAGGGACTGTGGCATGAGTCCACCCTAGCCCAGGGTGGCAGGTGGCTTTGGCTTTTGTTTTGTTTGTTTGTTTTTTTTTTTTTTTTTGGACCGGGGATTGAACTCAGGTCCTAGCGCTTGCGAGGCAGGCCACTGAACCACTGAACTAAATCCCCGGCCCTGGCTTTGGCTTCTGTAGAGAGAATGATCAGCAAGAGTCTGACCCCTAACTCCTTGGTCAAGGATGCTGGTCAGATCGCGGCCAGATCAGAGCCCTCATCCTAGGCTGGCAGCTTTTCTGGGAAAGCTCTGGGGCCTGATGTAGCAATCAATACACAGAAGCCTCTTCCCTTCAGCCTCCAGCCTGACATGGAGGGGTTAATCCTCAAGAGGTGATTCAATGGAACCAGGCGTTATTAGACTCAAGATACTGTTTGCTATATATTATTAAGGCAAAAAATGTGAAAGAGAGAGGGTGGGGAAGGCTATGAGCATTAGCCTGGCAACCCACTCTGTGGAATCCAATAATGTATGAAACAGCACGGCTTGTGGTATGTAGCTGAGTCTGCATCACACTGTGTCCCTCAAGGATGACTCACGGGAACATTGTCTCTCAGTCTGTGCCAGGGCAGCTGCTTGGCTTTTATCTTTTAGGTTCTACATATCTCTGAGCTGACCACATTTTCCTTTTAGCGTCGACTACTGGGAAGCTCCACATCGTATTCATGGCTCAATTCTCATAGCTGTATGTATGGCAGGGGTTTTGCATGCAGTACAAGTCCCAGCTTTGTTTGTTTGTTTGTTTGTTTGTTTTGAGACAGGGTCTCACTATGTAGTTGAGACTGACCTGGAACTTACTATGTAGCTCAGGCTGGTCTCGAACTCACAGCGATTCTCCTGCCTCAGCCTCCCGAGTGCTGGATTACAGGCATGCGCCACCACGCCCGGCCCCAGCTTTATTTTGTTTTTCTTCTCCTAAACATCTTTCTATTTATTAATAATCTTGTTTTTTTTTTTGTACCGGGGATCGAACTCGGGTCCTTGCACTTGCGAGGCAGGTGGCGGAACCACTGAGCTAAAACCCCGGCTATTTATTAATAATCTTAGTGTATGAAGTCTTTGTAAACTACTTCCGTTTTATAAAAATTAGAATAGAGTGGAGAAGAGAAGAAAGACAAAAAGTTAAAAGGAAAAATTTAGGAAGCTGTTCTAACATTCCTTTGGGTTTAAGTGAAGAATGTAAATTCTGCTGGTTTTTCTTAGAAATAAAATGTTAGAAGCTTCTCAAATCGTTTATGAAACAGGCAAATGCAAAATAAAACAATGAGATATCAATTTTTACCCAGAAAATTGGCAAAAAAAAAAATTAGTTCTGTCCCTACAAAGTATGGCGTGGATGGATACAGACTGCGCTGTGACGCTCTGTGTACACCGACTTGGAAGTGTGGCCCCTGTGGAAATGCACACAGACGGAGCACAGCCAACACCTAGCAAATGTTAGAGGAATTCTTGGACACGTGCAAAAGTTATTGTTTCTGCATTACTTTCAGTAGGCAAAGGAAGGAAACGCTCTAAGGGTTCTCCACAAGAGAATGAAAAATGAACTGTTGTTGTCTAACCATATAATCGAACACTATGTTTATCAGTTGAATGAATCACAGCTACGTGTGCTGCGTGGACAAAGCGCAAAACATAGCGTTAAATGAAAACACCAAACTGCAGAAGGTTATGTCAGGTTTGTTTTATTTCTACAGAGTTTAAAATCGCAAAGGCCTGTATATACTCATGGGTTCATAAGTATGTTGCAAGTGTTTAAAGACATAAATGAGAACGATAAACACCCGACTCGGGATGAGAAGTGCAAAGAAGATCAGCATCGTTTCGCTATAGGCAGTGGGTATATAGGTGTGGATTATGTTGCTCGCTACTCTTTTTGTTGTGGCTGAAATGTTTTGTTAAACAAAGAAAAATAGCTGGTCACGGTGACAATATGCCTGCAATCCCCATGACTGGGGAGGTTCAGGCAGGAGGATTACAGGCTTAAGACCAGCATGGGCAATGTAGCCAGATCCTGCCTCATAAAATAAAAAAAGCTGGGGATGTAGCTCAATGATAGAGCATTTGCCTAGCATGTGTGAGGCCTTGAGTTCAATCCCCAGTACTGGGGGGAAAATTCCCACAAAGAAAAATTACTAAGGAGACTGTCATCCACCTGGGGAAAACATTCTGCCTATATCAGAACAGGGATGGGGAGGAAAGATGTGGAAAGCTATGGTATTGGGGGTGAAGGAACCTGGCGGGTGTTGGACACCAATGTCCCAGTCCCTCCTAAGAGGATGAGAAGGTGTCAGTCCCTGAGATGGGGCCTCTGTTGCAGGATTTGTGGTCCAAGGCTCCACGGGCGAGTTCCCCTTCCTGACCAGCAGCGAGCGCCTGGAGGTGGTGAGCAGAGTTCGCCAGGTCGTGCCCAAGGACAAGCTCCTGTTAGCAGGATCCGGCTGCGAGTGTGAGACCTGAATGCCCAGTGGGTGGCCCGGCTGTGGGGTCCAGGCTCCCTGGCCCTGGGGTTGGGTTTTGTCTGCTTGTTCTGCCTCTCTGGGGACACTCCAAGCCTCCCTTTCCTTGTCCCGGTGTCTTGGCCCAGACTGAGACTTCCTCCTGCTCTGCCTCCGGCAGCCACTCAAGCCACCGTGGAGATGACTGTCAGCATGGCGCAGGTTGGAGCTGACGCTGTCATGGTGGTGACCCCGTTCTACTACCGTGGCCGTATGAACAGCACTGCCCTCATTCACCACTACACCAAGGTGGGTATGAGGGTGGGCACGGGTCAGAGGCCTGGCATCAAGAGGAGATCTGAGAAGCTGAGTGGAGAGTCTGCTTTATGTGAAAGGCAGCTATGGGACACAACCACCATATACCGGCTGTCTAACCCTGGGCTGCTGTGTCACTGATTCCTCCGCTTCTAAAAAGGGAGAAACAGTGATTGTTGAGGTTTAAATGAGATCTGGGACACAAAGGATTCTGAGTTGTGTCTACCATGTAATGTAGATAGCACTCAATAGATATTTTCCATCATTATATAGTAGCTGCAGTCAGGGTCTGCAGCACTGGCGGCTCAGAGTTCAGGAGGTAGAACTGTTCAGAGACAGTGGGGCCAAGACTACAGCTCCAAGGACTTAAGGCGGGTGCCATCTCCTCCTTTCTCTCTGTTCCCCTCAGGTTGCTGACCTCTCTCCAATTCCTGTGGTGCTGTACAGTGTCCCAGCCAACACAGGGCTGGACCTGCCTGTGGATGCAGTGGTCACGCTTTCTCAGCACCCAAACATCGTGGGCATGAAGGACAGTGGTGGCGATGTGAGTGGCAGCAGCTCCCAGGCTGGGATGCCCTCCTCCTTTCCTCTGAGCCCTAGCACATCAGCTACCCGCTTCAGCACAGCTCTGGGATCAGTGTTGGTCTTGGGTTCCTATTTGGATTCTCTCTGTTGAGTGGGTTCTCTGGGCTTTGTCTGAACTTGAGAGCCTCTCTCTGGGAACCGGGCTTTCATTCTGCAGCACTTGTCCAGCCTGTTCAGGCTGATGGGCAACTCTGGGCCCAGCGCTCATACCATGTATGTTGTTGCAGGTGACTAGAATCGCGCTGATTGTTCACAAGACCAGGAAGCAGGATTTCCAGGTGTTGGCTGGATCAGCTGGTTTCTTGTTGGCCAGCTACGCCTTGGGTAGGTTACCCACTGCTTTCCAACTGCCACGGGTGGCCAAGATACACCCAGCCAGCAGGGTCTGCTGGGAGAGACTGGGAAGGCCAGGGCGAGATCTGCAGAGGATGCTTATCTAGGAAGCTGCCCACCTGCTTTCTTTTCTGACACCGGGTACTTGTGAATAACCTTATTGGGTACAGGAGGGTGGTGTTGTACAACCCCTGGGCTATAGTAGGGATGCCTAAAGGTTGTTCTAAGCCCCAGGTTCTGCTTAGATGACAAATTTAGCTCCTTCAAGCTGGGATGGTGGTGCATGCCTGTGATCCCAGCACATGCACCTGGCTGATTCAGGATTGCAAGGTTGATCCTAGCCTGGCCAACTTGATGATTTCATGAGACCTCATCTCAAAAAGTAGAAAAAGATCTGGAAATATAGCTGAGTGTGAAGGCCCTAGGCTAAATCCCCAGTACCATGAGGGGGAAAAATTTAGCTCCTCCGGGCCAGGTGTGGCAGCACTCAATACCAGTACTCAAGAGGCTGAGGCAGGAGGATCATCACAAGTTTGAGACTTTCCTGGGGTACATAGTGAGTTTAAGGCCCATCTGGACTACATGGTGAGACTCTGCCTCAGGAAAAAAAACATTAACTTCTCTACTTTCACCTTGCAAATCAATCTCTGGGGCAGAGATCTTGAGGCATCCCCTTAGGTGGGAATTCCACCCCATTCCACCCCGGTCCCAAACCAAAATGCGCTGTCAGACCTGCAGGGCTAGACCTGGGGTCTTCAGCTGCCTGATTTGATTCTAACAAAGTTACTTGTACCAACTGCTCTCATGTGTTTTGGGTCAAGGTCATTGGGTTCAGGTGGGATTTGAACCCTGGAGAATAAAAGTGGAGGGCAGCATCTGCTCCCTTTAGCCAAAACCCTAGGAAGTTTAGCTTTGAGTGACTTTTCCAGGGTAGTAAGTCCCTGACTTACGAACATTCAAGTTGTGAACTTTCACAGATATACTGTGTAAGATTCACAGGTGTACTGTGTAAGACTCACTTTGTCGGATTATGAATGAATCTGACTTAGAAATGTTCTATCAGAATGGAACTCATTTAAAAGCCTGGGACTTACTGTACTGCAGGGATAACACTGGTTCCTATTCCCTCTGGTCTCCGCAGACTTTGGCCTGTTGCTATGTCTTTGCACATACTCCTTTTGCCATGTCACAATCTCTAAAGTACAGGACAAGAGGGGACCCATTTCCACCTCCTTCTTGAGAGTGGGGTAGATGGAAAGAGCACAGGCTCTGGAGGTAGGGATATCTGTGGTGGAATCTCAGCTTGGCCATTTACTCATTCAGTAACACGGGGTAATGCACACAATCTCTCTGAACCCAAAGAGGTACTGTGAGGATTAGAGAGCATCAGTCTTGTGTATGCCATAATGCCAGCTACACAGTAGGTATTCTATAAAGGGTAACTGTTTTCCTTCCAGTCCCGAGGCCCCTGTACTTGGGGTCATTCCCAAGTACCCTTAGAGTCACTCTCAGGGGCTGGCCGAGATGGCTGAGGTTTCCGAGGTCACAGCCAACATTTTCACTATCCAGATGAGAAGAGGACTATAGTGTAACTTGTCCAAGACGATGCGGCCAGTAAGAGGAAATGCTCAGTCTCTGACTCTGTGCCTGAGCTCTCTCCACTCCTCTTCCTCAATTCCCACCCCCACCTCCAGGCCGGGATGAATTCCCCTGGGGGAAAAAATTTCGGGAGCGCTCAAGCTCGAAGCTGCTGCAGACCCTTCCGGAACTAATGAGTCAGAGGGCTGCTGGATAAAGAAAGAGGTCAGAGAGCAGCCAGGACCTGACTCTAGAAGGGGTGAGGAGGCCCCCTGGGCTCATTTCCCTGCTCTTCACAGACAGCCCGTGGGACTCTATTTTGAACAAAGAAGCAGCTTTTTCTCTCTGGAAATGTGTACTTGGATTCACAGAGCATGACTTTTGACGTGGTCAACGGTGGCATAGAAATTCACATCTTATGTTCCAGGATGAAGAGGTTCAGGGACCAGGGCTTGGGAGTCTCTGTGCGAAGTGACTCTGGCAAACAATCCGTTCCTTACTCTGGACAGGAGCTGTGGGCGGCGTGTGTGCCCTGGCCAATGTCTTGGGGGCCCAGGTATGCCAGCTGGAGCGACTCTGCCTCACGGGGCAATGGGAGGCCGCCCAGAAGCTACAGCTCCGCCTCATCGAGCCCAATACTGCGGTAAGCTCCCAAGCCAGCTGGGGAGTGGGAGCCCGGGCTGGCACAGGGTCCCGGTTCAGGCCCTTCCCTTTCACAAAATCCTTTTAAAGAACATCTCACTGTGGGAACGCCTTGTGCCGCTCCAGAAAATCTTGGCTGCAGACAAAGTTGAGCCAGTTGGTTCTCAAGTTTAGGTATTAGAATCCCTGTGGGGGATAAAATCCTGGTCCTTTAAATATGCAGTGGAACAGGCCTCCCCAGTAACTGTGACATAAGTAACCCTGGGACTCTCCGTGAGCTTTTGAAAGCAGCTCTCGAACAGCCAGATCCTGAAAATCAGAATAATTGGGAGGAGCTGGAAGGCTGAAGATATTCAGGTCAATATTTTCCAGCACAGCTCTATCTTCAAATAATCTACCCTGCAGTCAGACCATGTACCTCAGTTCTATGTTGGGCAAGTCAAGGAAAAGCATTTAAGAGCGAATGCTGGCTGAAGATGTAGCTCAGTAATACAGTGCTTGCCTATCATGTATGAGGCCCTGGGTTCGATCCTCAACATTGGGGTGGGGGAGACAAAACAAAACAAAAACAACCCCAAAATGATGACCAGTATCAAAGCCATTTTGAAGTCTGAGGCAAAAAGAAAAAAGAAAAAAAAATACATATTCAGTTAAACTTTTTATCCAGATACAGATTCATATGCAGTTGTAAGAGATAAAACAGGCATTAATTTATGAACTTTCCTCCCAATGGTAGCATCTTATACAGTATGTTTATAGAAGAATTTCACCACATTGGATAGGATATAGGACACTGCCATCAATCCAGCCAAAAGATATATTACTGTCATTGCCACAAGGGTCCCTCATGTTACCCTCCTATACCCACACCTACTCAGCCCTAGACCCACCCCCCTGAACTCCTGGCAACCTGAAAATATTCACCTTTTTTGGGGGGGGTACTGGGGATCAAACTCAGGACCTTGGGTTTGCAAGGCAGGTCGATGCACCACTGAGCTAAATCCCTGGCCCTTATGTTCACCATTTTTATAATTTTGTCTGTTGAAGACTATACTATATGGAAATGTATAATATGCAACTTTTGGAATTGGCTTTTTTCCACTGAACATAATTCTCTGAGATTTATCTGGGTTGTATGATCAATAGTAATTTCTTTTAGTTGCTCAGTAGTAGTCTAGGGAATGGCTATACCACACCTGTTTAAACATTCACCCATTGCAGGGGAGCTTTGTTGTTTCCTATCTTTGGGCTATTTAAAGCTGCCATGGACAGCTGTGTACAGGTTTTTGTGTGACTATGCTTTTCCTGGGATAAATACCAACAGTGTGATTATAGGTAGTATGATGGTTGGTTGCATGTTTAGCTTTTTTTTTTTTTTTTAGACAGTGTCTTCCTGTGTAGTTCAGGCTGGTCTTGAACTCACTTCTTAGCCCAGACTGGCCTCCACCTCACAGTATGGCCTACACCCAGTATGTTTAGCTTTTCAAGAAACTGTTGAAGCTGGGTGTGGTGGCGCACTCCTGTGATCCCAGCACTTGGGAGGCTGAGGCAGGAGGATCACTGTAAATTCGAGACCAGCCTGGGCTACATAGAGTTCCAGGTCAGTCTCAACTACATAGTAAGACCCTGTCTCAAAACAAAAACAAAAACAAAACCCCCCTCCAAAAAAAACCCCAAAACTGCTGAAATGTCTTCTAGAATGACTGTACCATTTTATATTTACACTGATGTAGATGTATACCTTTTTTATTCGAGCCTTTCTGATAGGGTATAGTAACATTTCATTGTAGTTTAAATTTGCATTTCCCGGATGGCTAATACTGAACATTTTTTAATGCGTTAATTTGTCATATTCTTTTCACTCAATTATCTGTTTATGCCTCTTGCCCATTTCTTTTCTTTTTTGGCCCAAGGGGGATCCAATCCAGGGCCTTGCACATTCTAAACTTATACTTTACAATCAAGATAAAAGAAAAGCCTCAATGGGCTAGTCTTTCCCTTGATTATTTTCTAACCGGATTACTGCTGAGTTTTGAAAGTTCTTTGGTTTGGGCTGGGGATTTAGCTCAGTGGTTCCACCGCCTGCATCACAAGCACAAGGACCAAGTTCAATCCCCATTCCCGGTACTAAAAAAAAAAAAAAAAAAAAAGAACGAAAGTTCTTTGGCTAGGTGTTGTGGTGCATGCCTGTAATATATTCCCAGCACTCTGGAGGCTGAGGCATGAGGATCGCTGTGAGTTCGAGGCCAGCCTGGGCTACATAGGGAGTTCAAACCAACCTGAATTAGGAGACCCTGTTCTGTCTTGAAAAATATAAAATATAAAAACAAAACTTCGTATCTTCTGGAAACTAGTCCTGTGTTAGATATGTGATTTATATTTCCTTCCAGTCTGTAGCTTATCTTTTCATTCTCTTCATAGGCTTTTTGCCAAGCAAAAATTTTAAGCTTTGATGAAACCCAATTTATTATTATTTCCTTTATGAATGATACTTTTGGTATCGAGTCTAAGAATTCTTTGCTTAGCATTAGATCATGAAATTTTATTTTTCCCCTCAAAATTTTAGTTTTATATTCTACGCTTTTGTGACCCATTTTGAGTTAATCTTTTAAAGTGTGAGACTTGGTGAAAGAAGCCAGCGCCTGCCAAAGATCACTCCACACACCAACAGAGCTGTATGAGAGATTTATTGTAGAGTTGCTGCAGCACAGTGGCCTACTCGGCAAAGGAGGAAGAAGAAGAGAGAGAGAGCTGGGTGGAAGGGGCTTGGTTATATGGAGGGCTGGTGTAAGGGGGTCGGGAATTGCATCAGCTGCGCGGGCGGCCACTCAGGGGTCATTAGTGATCCATTCCCTGTATGGACAAGCCTTGCTCGTGCTTCAGTTTTGCTTACAGACGATGACGTGTCATGTAGGAAATGGAAATTTAAGGTATAAAATGGCGGTCGCTAACCAAAATGGCGACAGTCATTTCAAGGCAGTTATCTTATACTTGGGTCTTTTTTTTCCTTTGAATACCCATTTGCTCCAGCAACATTTGTTGGAAAAGGTGTCTTTCCTTTATTGAACTGCTTTTACACTTTTGTTAAAAAATCTATGAGGCATATTTGTGGGGGTCTATTTCTGGATTCTCTCTTCTCATTGATCTATGTGTCTTGTCTGTTCCTCTACAGTACCACTGACTTGATTATTATAGCTCTATAAAAGTCTTAAAATAAATTTTCTTCCCAAAATTGTGTTAGTTGGTCTAATTCCTCTGCCATCCATACCCATTTTAGAATAATCTTGTCCATACAAAAAATATTTTGCTGAATTTTAATAGGAATTTGTTAAACTGGTATATAAGATGAGGATGGTTGACATCCTTACTGTTATCTTCCAATCCTTGTTCTGGATTTTTTTTTTTTTTTTGGGTACTGGGAATCAAAGTCAGAACCATTGAGCTACATTCCTGGCCCTTGGTAATGTCTATTTATTTAAATCACTTTTTAAAATTTTTTCTTCAGTATTTTGTAGTATTTGGCAAAATCCTGTTTGAGAAATGTATACCTACATAGTTCATATGTTTTGAGTGATTGAAAATAGATTTTAAGTTATATTATCCATATGAAAATCACTAACCACCATTGCTAGTATTTAAAACACAATTGACTTTTTTTTTTTTTTTGAGACAGGGTCTTGCTATGTAGTCCAGGCTGGTTTTGAACTCAAGATCCCCCTGCTTCAGCCTTCCAAGAACTGGGATTATAGGCATTTACCACCATGGGTGGCTCATAATTGATTTTTTTTTTCATATTTCTCATATCCTGTGACTTTGCTGAACTCGCTTATTAGTCCTAGTAGTGTTTTTTTGGTAGATTCCTTGCAGTTTCTATACAGTTAATCATATCATATATCTATTTCTAGCTTTAAGTTTTTGTAAATGCTTTTTATCAAGTTGAGCAAGTTCCTCTCTATACCTAGTTCTCTAAATTTTAAAGTTGCAAATGGGTGTTGAATTTTGTTAAATGTTTTTCTGTATTGATATGATCGTGTGACTATCTTCTCTACCCTGTTAATATGGTACATTATATTAATTTTCAAATATTTGACAGATTTGATTTCCTGGACTGAATCTCATTTAGTGATGGTATATAATTCTTTTGACATATTGCTGAATTTCATTTGCTAATGTGTTAAGGATTTTTGTGTTCTGTATTTTTTTTATTGAGCTTACTGGTATTCTGTTCTGTATTGATGAGGAATATTAGTCACTTTCTTCTTCTTTCTTTTTTTTTTTTAATTTTGGTACCAGGGATCGAACTTGGGTCCTTGCGCTTGCCAGGCAGGCAGCGGCACCACTGAGCTAAATCCCTGGCCCTTTTTTTTTTTTCTTTTGAGACAGGGTCTTGCTATATAGTTTAGGCTGGCCTTGAACTTACTATGTAGACCAAGCTGACCTAAAACTCTCAGCAATCTTCCTGCCTCAGCCTCCCAAGTGTTGGGAGTACAAGTGCATGCTACAATTCGTGGTTCTTTCTTTATCTTCTTTCACTTTTATTTCTTTTCTGGTTTTGGTATCAGGATACTAACAGCTTCCCAAACTGAATTGGCAAGTATTCCCCCCTCTTCTATTTTCTGGATAAGACTAGAATTGGTATTAAATCTTCTTAAAATATTTTGTAGAATTCTTCAGTTGAAACTATCAGGGTCTGGAGATTTCTTCTTTAGGAGTTAAAAAATACACTTCTCAGGCCAGTGATGTAGCTCAGTGGTGGAGCATTTCCTAGCATGCAGGTTCTCAGTTTGATCACCAGCACCTCAAAAATCAACAAATGAACAAACCAACCCCCTTTGCAGGAGGCCTTAGGGATAGGCTTCTACTGATACCTCCCCGGCTGGAGGGGAGAGTGCTTCCTTACTGCTCTCCACGTAGTTTCTACTGACATCACTAAGTATCTGGTGGCAGGTGTTAGTGAGGGGAGCAGTGGATGGCCAGTGGTGGCCTCTTTAAGGGTGGGCAGTACTAAGAGTCCTGACTCTCCTCCACTGGGCCTCCTCTGACAGTGTCCAGCTGGGCACAGGAACAGGGTGACACTTCAGGCTTCTTTATCCCCCCGGGCTGGCCTGGGTAGTGGGGGCCACTGTTTATTCCATGGTGTTTGGCTGGAGTAGAAAATTATTATCATCTAAAACTTTTACATCTTGCTGTGGTAGACTTTTCCTTTCCTGGTCTTTTAGAGAGAGAGATAGAACTGGCCTTTATTGGGATGTTTATTGTCTGTGCCTGTTGGCATTTCATGATTGTTGGCTTTAGCTCCAAGTCTGGGCTAAGAGCTTGCCACTGTGTTGTTCCTTGTGGCCTGAGGTCCCTGATTGGTCTCCTTGCTACCTTTCAGAGTCTTCTTATCTCTATTTTTTATACAATGTCCAAGCTTTTTAGTTGTATTTATTGCGGAGAATAGGGATAAGTACCTTTACTCTATCTTCCTGAAAGTGGAAACTCGTAAGTATTTTCCAAATGGTAAATCCACCCCCCAAACATTAAAGTAGTGTGGGTATAAAAAACAGTAGGTGGATATGGTGATGCAGGCCTGCTATCTCAGCACTCTGGGAAAGGATTACAAATTTGAGTGAAGCCTGGGTAATTCAGCAAGCTCCTGTCTTGAAATAAATTTTTTTAAAAAGGGCTGGGGATGTAGCTCAGTGTGAAGGCCCTGGGCTCAATCCCCAGTACCACAAAACCAAAACAAACAAACAAACCAAAAAAAACCTCACAGTATTATTTTGGGTTTAAGTCTTTTATGTACACCAAAAACAGAATCCATAATCTATATAAATTTACTTTCCTGGGAGAAAACTCACTAAAATGTTCTTTTTCCCAAATCTACTTCTATGGAAAAATTTTTTAAATACAAAAACCACATATATAGGGACACACATGCTAACTGTTGACTCAAACTATAATACGGCAGGGTAGGACTCTGTTAAATACTCTCTTTAAAATTGCTCACCATAGATTTGTCTGCATTAAATTTTGACTTAAAAAATATTGTATTGACATATCTTTGATATTGAGGGTTTTTTGCTTCTCCTTAAGTTTTATATCGAAAACAAGTACTTGCTAGCCTCACCATAATCCAGGTTACACACGACAGAGCTCTTTAACAGTGCTGTGTCTGGATAAACTGGTGGGTGGGCTCTAGGCCTCCCTCATAGTTTATATCCTTACTTCAAAGGGGCAGATTAGCTCAGCTTTAGAGAAAGGACAGCTGAGGGGAAAGCATGAGTCTTCCTGGATGTGGGGCTTCTCCCAGGATCAGACACTATAAATAGCTTGTAAGAACTTGCTGAATTGAGGGCCTTTCAGCTAAGCCCACGAGGGCATAGGTGGCTCTGAACAACTGGACATTCCACAGGGCAGGGCCTCGGTTCTCCCACTCAATCAATCCACTTGAGAAAGAACAGGCCCCAGGATCCACATCCCACCAGGACAAGAGGGGACAGTATTTTCAGGGCCCTGGGGATGGGTTTAATGTTAGTGGTATTTATCTTATCTGATCTGGGACATCTCTATGGGTAGGTGTACTTCTCACTTCATTTTATAGACAAGCAGCTTTGGCTGTTCCTGGGAAGGCAGGAAGCCTCTGTGCTTTACCCTTCTGCCTCACTCTGTATTGTGCCCTCTTGTGCCAGCTCTGGGTAGGCACACGCTCAGGAATGCCTGGGCTGTAGGCTCAGACACCCCAAGAGCAGTCTGAGGTCACGCTTATTGCCTTGCCCCGGTTGGACACAATGTCCCTCCTCTACCTTCTCACCCAGCCAGCCTCCAGCTATATTTAGGCCTTTCTAGACTTTACCACCAAAACAGTCAGGGTCTGAAGAGGGTACCAGAAACCTTCAGAAACCCACAGGAGTAATAAGCTTTTCTCTTGGCACCACTTGGTTTTATTCCCTCCCCTAGGTATCTCTAGAGATTTGGGGTAAAAAACTCAGGCTATTAAGAGGATCATGGGTGGGACTAGGCCTGGGAGGAGGGTGATTTACTACACGTTCCAAGAACAAAAATCCAGGCTTACTAAAGCCTACTGGTGGAAGGGGAACAAGAGAAGGAGGGAAGGGAGAAGGAAAGGGAGGAAAAAGGGAGGAAAAAGAGTTAAGATGTGTTATATACATGTACCAGTTTCCATTATGTACTGTAACATATACTAATAAAAATTTTTAAAAGCCAGTGATTAAAAAAAGCCCACTAGGGCCAGGGATTTAGCTCAGTGGTTTTGCCACCTACCTTTGTAAGCGCAAGGGCCCGAGTTCGATCCCCAGTACTAAAAAAAAAAAAAAAAAAGCCCACTAGTCTCTAGTAGTGAAGAGTTACTAGTCATTCATTACTGATTCCCAGCCTACCTTCCCACCCCAAACAAACTCATTTTTATTTTTTATTTTTTTTGTTTTTTTGAGACAGGGTCTCACTATGTAGTTGAGACTGACCTGAACTCACTATGTAGCCCAGGCTGGTCTTGAACTCACAGTGATCCTCCTGCCTCAGCCTCCTGAGTGCTGGGATTACAGGCGTGTGCCACCAAGAGGCCCGGCTTGACCTCATTATTTTTACCCTTCATGAAATCCATATTTCTAACCTTCCCTCCAAATAAACCTCTACTAACTAATGATTTCTTTCTTAGTTTTTAGGTAGGGAAAGATTCATCTAACACTTCTGATCAGTATGAAATAACCAACTGCTGTATGAAAAACAAAGAACCTTGATCCTTCATTTATTCTGTAAAATTCCATGCATGATTTTAAATTATAACAGTAACTTTAGGTCTTCCACTATACTAGACAGGCTCTTACATATCATGTTGTCTGGCCCCCTCACCTTTGGGGTAAGAAAATTAGCTCAAATAATAAGGACATGACGTACAGTTAAACAAAAAAACTTATTTGGATAATGATGCAGTTTTTCCCATGAGAGCATTTAAACAGGGTGAGGAGGGACCCTGATGTCAGGGGAGTGAGGGGTTCTGCCTGAGGCTGTCAGAGGTGTGTTCTCCTCCTGACTTCCCAGTCCTGCTGTGTTCTGGCAAAAGTTCTAGGGAACCATGCTAAAGACACGATGTAGTACCTAGAACTTGCTCCCTTCTGTCCCAGGCCGAGGGCTCAATCTCTCTTTCCTGTAGTGGTAGCTTTTTTCTCCTAAAACCGATGGAGGCAGGTTTCTTCCTCAATTTGAGGTTGTTGCACTTTACTATTGCTGACCTGCTTTCTGGTCTGTAAATTTGAATTCCAATCTACCCTGGATGCTACAGATTTGGTAGAGTTCTTTCACTGCGGGTGGAGGTAGAAACTCCAAATTTCTAAAAGTGACAGAGGTCTGGGTCCTAGGAAGGCATATGCAGATGGTTCTGCAATCTCCTATAACGGGCCCTCCTTCCTAGGTGACCAGGCGCTTTGGAATCCCAGGGTTGAAGAAAGCCATGGACTGGTTTGGCTACTACGGAGGTCCCTGCCGAGGCCCCCTGCAGGGGCTGAGCTCTGCTGACGAGGAGGCCCTGCGAGTGGATTTCAGCTGCAATGGCTGGCTCTGAAGGCGGGCAGGACGTACCTGGCCCGAGCCCTCTGTCTACCCTGGCTCCCGCAGCCTGAAGAGGGGGAGGGACCAGCAGCTCACCCCCCAGTCCTCCAGGTGGCCTTTCACTAGGCAGCCCCGTGCAATCTGCCCTGTTCACATTTGCTAGTCTGTGTGTGACTTCTCACACTTATGTCCTAGTGCCGAGTCCCTGGGATTTGCAGAGTAGGAAGGAGCAATCTCTTACTTGCCTCTGCACTGTGGATGCTTTCCTCTGCCCCGAGGCTCAGAAACCTGGGAGCTGAGGGAAAGGTAAGAGGGGCAATAGGGCCATAGGGAATTGGATATTGAAGGGATGGCAGACTTGGAGCTACAGGCCTGAGTCTAGCACTATGCAGTTGGAAGTCAGGGCTATTCCAAAAAATGAAAATTCTGACTCCTTCCAGAGGGTGCAGCAGGTTAGGAAATCTGATCAGGAAAATGTTGTTCTTTGGAAGGTCCCAAATTGCATTCCAGTCACAATGCCCTAAACCTATTTTTATTCACCGTCTTGTTGCTAGCTTTGATTCTCACCATTCAGTGCACAGACATCCTAGTGGCTTGTCAGGCTGGTAAATAATGACATCTGGTGGATAAACACCTGGTCTACATTCTAGAAGATGAGTTGAACCAGTCCAGGTCTGAAACACCTAAGGGGACTTGGCATGGGACAGGGCCATCTTCTTGTCTGTAAGCACTGTTTTTATTAAAAATAATCATGTTGTTACTATAATAAAGTTTAACAAGTAAAACTAGTGTAGTCATGTACCAGGTTTCCAGGCCAGATATCAAGAATACTCTTAGAGGTAATGGAGCGCTCATGGCCTGCCTTTTTCCAGCTCTGCGGAGCTGAGAGAGGCCCTGACAACAGTGAGCAAACAACCATTAGATTAGTGGGGGCCTGGGAAAGGCTTAATGGTTTCAAATGGGAGACTGACGAAGTAAACCTGTGCAACACTTAGCACACGAGTTAAAGAGGCTGCTTTCTCCAAAATGTTTATCCCTGTTTGGCGGTAGTATGTGACCAGTGGCAGAAAAACTGAGATAATTTTTTAAAATATCATTAAAAGAAAAGTTACTCTGGTACTAGGGAGGCTGAGGCAGGATGGCTTCTACAAGTTCACGGGCAGCCTGGGCTACATAATGAGTTCAAGGCCAGTCTGAATTACATCGTGAGATCTTGTCTCAAAAATAAAGTTTTTAAAAATAAATAAAAAATTTAAAAAGGTAAACTGGACTTGGTGGTACATATCTGTAATCCCAGCACTAGGGAGGCTGAGGCAGGAAGGTTGTGAGTTTAAGGCCATTGTGGCCTACATAGCAAGTTTGAAGCCAGCTTAGAACATAGTGAGACACTGTCTCCAAAAACAACAATTAAAAAAAGAAAAAAATAGACTGGAAATTAGGTCAGTTCAACGGCTCTGGTTCAACCCCCAGTGCTTGGGGTGGGGGGAGGTAAAAAGAAAGGTAAATAAATCTTTATTTAGGGTAGAGAAAACTATAAAAGATAACCTGAAACTGAAACTGGGCATCTGATGGCACTAAAGTTTGGGACTTGGCCACTGACCTCTCATCAGCACCTTCCAGAAAAGCTAGGCTCAGAGGACAATCAGAGTTGGGGGGCGGTTAGGACTAGGGAGGCAGATTAGTGTACAGATTAAGAGTTTAGCCTCTAGGCTTCAAGAACTGAGTTTTGGTAGAGTTTTTGTTTGTTTTTTTTGTGGTACTGGGGATCGAACTCGGGTCCTTGCGCTTGCGAGGCAGACTCTGGAACCACTGAGCTAAATCCCCAGCCCTAGACCTGGGTTTAGATTCTAGGATCTAATCCACCTCTTCTTGCCTACTGGACACTGGGGGTGTGACTAATTTCTCTGAGCCTCATCTGTAATGAGGAGATGATACTCACATTTTTCTCCCAGGGGCAGAAAGAGGATTGAATAAGACTGTACCTGTGAATGGGCTGCACGGTAAGTGATGTTCTACTGCTCTGCTTGTTAGAGATGGGCACTGACTCGCCTAAGGTCATCAGCAGGACTGGCAATAACTGATCCCAGTGATACTCAGGGTGAGAGGACTCCAGCAGAAAGGGAGGTGAACCAGAAGGACTAGGATAGAAACCAGGCCCAGCTCTGCCATTCACTAGCTCAGTAACCTGGGGCAGTCTGATTTAAAATAAAAGGTTATGCCTTCTACTCTAAGGAGGCTCTAGGAATCGGATGGCCTTATATAGTACGGTGTACACGTCAGTGTCAGAGCCACTGACAATCCCACTCTGATGCACTTTTCAAAATAGCAAATGGGCTGATATTCTGAGGATACTGGGCAAGAAAGTCATGAAAACTATGACTAGGCAGTTTTGGTGATCTGTTTATTCTTATAAACACTTGTTTCTACAGTACACTTCAAAGAATAAATAGAGGCACACGGCTATAATTTCCGCATAGTCTGCTGCTGAGGGAGATTCAGTGTAAGGATAAGAGCTGGGGTGTGTGTCCAGGTTCCAGGGATCTTACTTGCCAAAACCCAACCCAGGCCTGAGGGCCATGGCTTTTGGAGGAAGAGTCACCATGAACCAACGGTGAGGAGCCAGTATTCTTTTAGTTCACTGTAGCCCTAGGATGGGTCCGAGTCTACCTACAACCAAGGGGTTGGGGTAAGTCTACCTACCCCCTGGGGGGAAAAAAACACCTGTTGGTAAAAGCCTTCTGTGGGATTCAGGTATCTCTCTGGGAGGGCCTGAAGTGGTTTGGATATGTCTGCCCCTTGCCCTGGGGCGAGTGATGAATATATGTTGTAAGATTACCCTTATATCACTTTCTGTCTTGATTATCCCATAGAGGGATCCCGTCTGATGTACAAGAAAGGAGAGAGGCACAAATAGGAGAGAGGCAGACTGGATTATCTGCCATAACTCAGGTAAGGAAGATGGCTTATAAAGTGAAGGGGGAAGAAAATAACACTGTTATCCAATCCTTCACGGGACAAGTGAGCACAGGTGAAGACCACTCTGATCAAAGCGGGAGCCTGGAACCAGAATCCCACTGCAGCAAACAAGGGGGTAACGTAAAGAAAGTTTTGGCCTTGACTTTCACAGGACTCCTGTTCTGTCTAAGCCACTCCGTCTTCTTCCTTATTTTTCAGCAGAGAGCACTAGCTCTAAGATAGGCTAGGAGCAGCTGCCCCAGATGCAGGCAAAATAGACAGTGTGAATCGCTTGGCAGCAAACAGAGGGAAGGCTGCAGCAGGTCTGCACTAAGAGCTAAAGTTTTAGGAACAGGGAAAGCCAACAAGTAAGAAAATCTAGCTCCTGTGTTCTCTACACTGAGGGTCAGGGAAAGACAGAACTGCTACCAACTGCTACTGTTTGGATCAAACCTGTCAGTACTTTTCTGTGATCCAGTTCTTGGTTGGCAGGTGAAGGAGCACATCACAGGCTTGGCTCCCTGGTCATTCTCTCCTCATCTCCTCCCAGATCTCGTTTGCTGGTTCACTTCAAGTGAACAATGGGAGCACTGGATTTACGGACACTTTCCCAGATGAGCCCAGTGCCCCCTCAGGCAGTGAGATTTCTGGCTGACTTGGAGGCACTCTGGGCCCGCTGGACCACTGCAGAACACTTCTCACGCCGCAGAAGCTTGTTGTTCTCAAAGAGACCTTCGTTACGGGGTATTCCGTGAGAACCATCAGGAAAAGTGAGCAGGCCTTTCAGGAGGAAAACATGACGGTGGAATTAATGTCTCAGGGACGGCTGAAGAAGACTCGCGGGAGTACTCAGTGAGTTCAGTGGATTAGGGCATGATCACGACAGACTGCTAGACAGCTACAGGAGAATTAAAACTAAAAGACATATTTCCACCCATAATATGCTCCCTTGTCACCCATCCTGCTGGGCTGCAACTTACCAAAACCATCTACTCTGCCATTTTTAAATTCTCCCTCAAACGTCATGTTGTCATGTCGAATGAAGACTCCAACGCCGTTAAATTTGCCCTGGGCAAACTCCCCCTCATACCTGCAGAAACACCAAGATGTTAGCCTCTTCTGGGCAAGTCAGCTGTGCTGGTTAACTGAGTCAAGCAGCTGACAATATGTGTCAGTTAATAATGCCAAGAAGCAGAGATTATTCTGCTTAGCTCAGAGCTCCCCCACCCGATCTGTTCCATTCCCAGCCAGCAGAGGAGAGTCAGAGAGAGAATGTAGGCTAAGTGAATGGAGGCTGGTGGAGGTCACTTACTTTCTTGACCTTGCAAATTTTAGGTCTATATGAAAGGTAACCAAAAAGCTGCTTATTCCTTGTCTGTTTTCTGCAGGGCCTAGGAGCAGCTCAGGGTTGACCAGATATTTACCAATGTTCTGTTTTTATATCAGAGCCTTCCTAGTTTAAAGACAGAAAGGAATAATCTAATACTTACCGTGAGCCATCTGAGAAGGTCAGTACCCCAAAGCCATTAAAAAGCCCATTCTCAAAATGACCCAGGTAGGTGCCACCATCTGCAAACAGCAGTTGACCAAAGCCATGTCTGCGGCCTGAGCAAAGAGAAGGACAGGTGCTAGGTTGGAATGTGGCAGCTTCAGGATCCTTTCCCGCTTGCCTAGCATCCCATCTTTTCTATCACCCTAACCACAAAAGAAAAGAAGTGATGGCTTTAGCAGGGCAGAGTCAAGCACCAATAAAAGCTGGCTCCTGGTACCTCCCACTGGAAGTCACAATCAGATTTGGGGCAGGTCTCTCTAAGTATGAATGATATGTGAGACCCAGTCTCAAAAAAAAAAAAATAAATAAAAAAAAAATATATATATATATAAATATAAATGGGGAAATGGAGCTCTCTGTTCCATCAGTAGGGCTGTGCTTACTCACTAAGCAGACCAGAAATCTCAGCAAGAAGCTGGGGGAGCAATTATCTCCCTAATACAGAGTGAGGAAGTTCTTTTGGTGGGCAGAGAAGGCCTGGCAAGGCCTCAGGCTGTCTTTCTTAGGGAAAGCCGTATTGAAGGGGATAGCAAGTGTGTGTGGGCAGGAAAAAAGGCTCACGATGAAAGGAAGCAGCTTCTCAAGGCTCAAGAATTTACCAGCTGTAGGGATCTAATGTGAACCAACTAGGGCGTGTGAATGTTTACAGCATGACCTGTCCTTCACCTGTACCAATGCAGAAGTCCAGTCTCCTTCAGGGCAGTTCCTGGCTTAACAGAACTGGATTCATGACACTTTTCAAAGTGGTCACACTGTTTTTGCAAAGTGAACATCATTGAACTGCTTCTTGTATAGGTTCACGAAGAATTTTACTGTTCTTATGAATACTTCCAAATATAATGAGCTGTCACAGAAAATTCAAGGCAAGGCCGGGGATTTAGCTCAGTGGTTCCATCGCCTGCCTCACAAGCGGAAGGTCCTGAGTTTGATCCCCGGTACCAAAAAAATAAAATAAAAAACACCAAAACAACAAAGAAAGAAAATTCAAGGCAATAAATGCCATTTGCTCTTGAGTCTTTGCCCTAATGTCCAGATCATCTTTAACTTCCTAAAATTCATTGTGACCAAGGTATTACAATGGTTCTGCACTCTAAAAGAATTCATTTTGCTCTGCTGGGTACCTCAGCATTTATTTAAGAATTTCCCAAACAATATTACAAAAGGATGACAGGATGTTAAAACACTGCAAATCTAGAACTATAAAGACTTAGCTCATTTGGGGAAGCTGGATTAACAACAGTATTATCTAATTCCTTTAATCTGAAAACAATAAAGGAAAAGCACTATGTAGATTTGAGTCCTACAGTGGGAAATGAAGATCCGTAAAGTTCGTTATCCTTCCTAATGTATTTTCCTTTAGCCAGATGAGGTATTCATCACTGGATACCCCCAAAGACCCTTCTCACCCTCCTTCCACTCGCCACGATATTCCTCCCCACTGGAGTAGGTGAAGGACCCTTTCGTCAAGGTCATGGTGACAGCTTACAGAAGAAAAGGCTGAAAACTGTAGGAAATAAACAGGAGAACCAGGGTCACAGGATGGCTGTAGGAATGGACTGCGGAAAAAAACTATAGATAACTGCAAAAAGATTTATAGATACTCTCAAAAGGCCAGCAGGCTGGTAAGTATACAACACCCTGGGTACATGTGGTGAAACACCTTCCTTTCCGATACCACCACCACCTCTGCCTAAGCACTCTTACCCTCCTACTTGTCTTAAAAGTTTTCAGTCTGATCCTATTTTCTATGACCTGGGATGGAAATGCAGGGTTAACCTATTACGAGTTTAGCTGATGTATAAAATCTCATCTCTTCCCCCAAAGAGGTTACGGTCTAACCAGCAACTGAAACACTGAATTGTACTACAGATAAAGTAAGTGCCAACTTGGATGGCAGAAATGAACAAGGACATGGGATGGGCAGAATTTAAAATGAGCAGTAAAAAAAAGAAAGAGTAGTGCTAGGTTGAGAAAACATGGGGATTGAAAGCACAAAGAGTTACGTAAACATGGGATGTCCAGTGGCAAAATCAGAAATCTGATATGATTATAGTTGAGAGCTTATTTAGGGAGTAATAGGTACACTTAGCCAAAATCATAAATCCGAAGAAAACCTCACAGATTTAATCCAGATGAACAAACCGAAGCTCAGAGTGGTTAAATGTTTGATGGCAGCTGGTCATGGCAGTCCATATCCATAATTCCAGCACTCAGGCTGAGGCAGGAGGATCACAACTTTTTTTTTTGGTACTGGGGAATGAACTTGGGTCCTTCCTTGCGCTTGCAAGGCAGGCCACCGAACCACTGAGCTAAATCCCCGGCCCTAGGATAACAACTTTGAGCCCTGAATTTGTAATTTAGCAAACTTAGCGAGACCCTGTCTCAAAAAAAGAAGGGCCAGGTGTCAGAGCCAGATATATGTACGACTTGGTGTGAAGGCCGTGGGTTCTATCCCTAGTACTATGTCAAAAATATTTTTTTTGTTAGTAACCAAGCTGGGGTTAGCATACAAGCCTCCTCAGTTATGGCTAGTTGTATTCTACTGTACTACAGCCTCTGCTGTTAGGTCAGGCTGGTCTCTGAAAGCTAGGCAGAAGAGTTTATTTTGGCTAAGGGCAGTGGGGAGCCTTTGGGAAGCTGTGAACACAGAAGTAACATGATGTTTCTGGGACAGTTTCTTTTTTAGTTTTTGAGACAGGGTCTCACTATGTATTTGAGACTGACCTGGAACTCACTATGTAGCCCAGGCTGGTCTCTGTAGCCCGTAGCCCAGGCTGGTCTCGAACTCACAGCGATCCTCCTGCCTCAGCCTCCCGAGTGCTGGGATTACAGATGTGTGCCACCACGCCCAGCTCCGGGACACTATTTAAGGAAAAATGAATGTGGTGGCAGGAAGCAGGAGGGTTTGGAGTAGTAGAAGCCTAGTCAGCAAAGCTCACAAGGAAGAGATGTTGTAATTCGATAACAATGATTCTCCCTCTCTTCATGCCCTTGCAGTGTGACACAGCAGATCCTCTTCCCAAAAGGCAATTTGGTTATTCCTTCACCCACTGGATCAGTGTTGGCTATGTAAGTCACTCTATTAGCAAAGGTTCTAAGAGTAGAGGTTTGCTGCACTTGGTCTTGTTTTGCCCCACACTAGTTTGCTGGATGATGAGAGGCCATCTGGAGCAGCCGCTCAGCTGGCTGCAGATGCACAAAATGAACTCAAGCAAGTCCATGATCTGTCCTTCTGAGCCCAGCTGCAAACTAATAACAGTACTGCACTGTTTGAAGCCGCTATGTTTTAAGGCAGGGTGTTACTACCTAGCAAAAGCTGAGACATACAGGTATAAGTAGGTGGCCTAGGGGATACAATATGATGGGAGCAGAAGGAATGGGATGGAATCTATGACAAATACATAACGGGAAAAATACACCAATAACATTTGGGAACTGGCTAGATGGTAAAAGAATGCATTCAAGAATGTCCTATAAGGGAGGCCATGGAGGTGAACTTCTATAATCCCAGCACTTGGGAAGGCTGAGGCAGGGGGATCATTGTAAAGTTTGAGGCCAGCCTGGTCTGGCCCACAGTGAGTTCAAGGCCAGCCTGAATTATATAGTGGGACCCTGTCTCAACAAAACAGTACCCTATAAGGAAGTAAAGATACTTAAAAATCTAATTAAATATAAAGAGATAATCACTTGACATGCTAAAAATATAATCCCCATTTTTAAAAAATGTAGGGATTTTTTTTATTCACCCTTCATTTTTTTGTTGTTGTTTTTTTTTGTTTTTTGAGACAGGGTCTCACTATGTAGTTGAGAATGACCTGGAACTCACTATGTAGTCCATGCTGGTCTCGAACTCACAGCGATCCTCCTGCCTCAGCCTCCCGAGTACTGGGATTACAGGCGTGCGCCACCATGCCCGGCTCACCCTTCATCTTTTTCCAGAGCTAAGCAACACAGTGTTTTCTCAAAAGATGACTATGCAGATTCCTAGACCCAAATGCAGAATTACCAAACCAGCCTCTGTACAGTTGGAGCTGGGGACTCTGCAGTTTGTATGACATTGTTAGATTCTCATTTGAAGCCTATGAACTACTATTCCACTAAATGGAAATACTATGTATGAAGATTCTGGGCTACAAATCACCACTGAAAGATTCCTTGTAATTAATAGTTAGCCTAGTCTGTCCTCACAGGCCCCAAACTGATTTTCAACAAAACAAATGTACCTTTTCTTTAGGGCACAGGGGCCAGAGCTGCTGTACAAGACAAAGTTCTGAATTCTAAGCTCCACAGCCTCACAGTACAAGAATGTGGCATATTTTATACAAAAATGATGCTCTAAAATAAATGTGCAACTAAAACAACACATATATTAAATCTGTTTTCTCTAAACTGGTGGTGGGCAGGGCTGAGTTATTTACACTCCAGTTCAGATGGCAGAACCCTCTATAATCCACTGAGCAGACCCAGAGAGGCTATTTGAATGCCACTATAATAAGAACTAACATTTATTGACCACTTATCCTATACATAGTCTATCTCATTTAATCTCTGGGTATTTTTATTCCTCTTTACAGATGAGGAAACTGAACTACAGAGAGGATAAGGAAAGTCACTGCAGTCCCTCGGCTAACATGTGGAAGTTAGAATCAAAACCCTGGCAGCTGGCCTCTGCAGCCCACGCTCTTAAACTCTAGTGTTATGGTGTCCTCTCCTGCACCCTAATACCATATAGTGGCATTGTGGACCCTGGCAGCTGAAAGACCCCAGTTCAAATCCTGGTTCACCGTGTAACCATGGATAAGCCACTTCTTAAGTGTCTCTAAAATCTGTCTCCTCATCTATAATATAGGTGTGCTGCTGAAGTGAGCACTGTCTCCACATCTATAAAGTGGAAATAATACACTGTTTTCAGAGACAGCAGGTGGACTAAATAACATACATAAATGTATCGACCTTGTCCCTTAAATGGTTAAAAAGAGACACATAAACTCACACGTTACTTATTGCAATGGAAACTTCTCAAGTCTTTGCTCAGTGTAAAAGTACTCTCACCCCAATTCAAATAACATTTTTTAATCTTTTTGGTACCGGGGATCGAACTCCGGTCCTTGTGCTTTCGAGGCAGGCAATGGAACCACTGAGCCAAGTCCCTGGTCCTCAAATAACATTTTGAAAGAGAGCGATTCATCAATTTAGACTAATGAGGTATATACTAAAGAGTAGAAGGAAGAACAAACTATAGCTGCCACACTTCTGTTCTCCGTCAATACCCTATAAGGGTATTTTTTAACTTTGGCCATTTTGGGCACAGATAATGCCTGGAAACGATCTGATGTGGAACAGCCTGGCCTGAGGGAGGGTCAGTGACATCTCCTAGCCCTGACCCCCACTCTAAGCTCAAATTCCAGACACGATGACAGCTGAGCCTGGAGAATCCTTGTACTCTCATTCAAATATGGGGAAACATTAATTTCTTATATCACAGTAGAGGTCAGCTGTGGGGAGGCTGAGAGATGTTTGGGGGTCATTCCTCCTGGACTTTCTCATTTTTCTAGTTATTAGTCAACAGCTGCATGTCTAGGCTCTAAGATATCCTTAGGCAGAAAACAAATGCTTGTCATACTATAGCCCCTCCAAACCTCTGGGGAACATTTTCTCAGAGAGGTGATGCCGGTACCTGCTGCACCCTCTCTGTCCTATTAGTGTCCCATAAAGTCAGCATCCAATTTCAGGTTCACAAGCCTCTTATCATCAGCTCAGTATGAGTGTGCCAGGGTAGAGGTCAGCGTGACTCCATTGCCCATACAACATTAACGAGAGGAGAGAAGCAGTTTTCCATCAGAGCTGCAGAGGACAACTTTTTCCAGTCCAGCTAAGCATTTTGATAGTGACAGACCATTCTTAGCTCTTCCCAGAACTAAGTGACAACACTAAGAGTGAACTTCTGGTACAAACTGAAAATATTTCATCCCTTTGACATATGTCTGTTGGAATAGAACAGCCTATATCTTCTACTAAATCTTAAAATGATGATCACTCCAAAACACGAAGTCACTATTTACACAGGAAGAGCATAGGTTTTCCTGAAGGCTACATAAAACTTCGAGGGGCATCCACTGAACAAAATGGAATTCTACCTGTAACCATGGTCAGCGAGACAGATCTACTTTAATAAAGAACAGCCAATGCCGGGCGTGATGGCGCAAGCCTGTAATCCCAGCACTCAGGAGGCTGAGGCAGGAGGATCACTGTGAGTTCAAGACCAGCCTGGGCTACATAGTGAGTTCCAGGTCAGTCTCAACTACATAGTGAGACCCTGTTTCAAAAAACCAAAAAAACAAAACAAAACAAAGAACAGCCAGTGATGAGGCTGAGGCAGGAGGATCGCTGTGAGTTCAAGACCAGCCTGGGCTACATAGTGAGTTGCAAGTCAGTCTCTACATAGTGTCTCAAAAAAAAAAAAGAATAGCCAGTGCTGAGGAAGACTAAAAATCCCAATAATTTAACAAGGGATTTATATCAAATAGGCATTTATATCAGTTATTTAACTATTCTTATTAAAGAGAATA